AACAGTGTAAAGRTTAAGATGTTTAAATGGTTATACACCTAGCGTGGTTCCTGTTCATAACAATGAACAATAGAAAGGAAACGCCACGTGCTCAATACGTACATACTTTTGGTTGTTGGCGGGCCATTACATAGCGTTATTTTGGGACGATTGCGTTCGTATTGTGTATTTACATTTCAACGCACCTCGCTTACTGGAAGGACGGTCATAACGTGTATCATAGCCACATTTACGACAACTCTTTGGACAGTATTTGTTCATCCACTGACTGTTCCTAAGGCACTCTCGATTCTTGGCCATCTCGGAACAGAAAGGATGTCTATCGTTACAGCTTCTGCTGGAAACTTGTGTTGTTCCTGATGAAATAAAAGTAGGTTCATTTTCATTTCAGAGGTATCATATASAATAGTTGTATACACGACGCTCAGTATACCCACCTCTACTGCACGTGTACAGCTCCACCCTCATACAAATAGAACTCCAAGATACAGGGTGAATCCTTACGTATCTTGCAGGAAATGGAAATGCAATGCGATTGGTTYGTACTTCATTCATGTCATTATTACCACGAAACTCCTACACAGAAATCAAAAGTGTTGTTAACATATCATTATCATATGTAAGCGCAAAGTTAACTGTCGATACCTTGGCGATGTCTTTGTTCTCGTTATACGAGTAAAACGTTCTGCCATCATTGCTGTAGGAAACGGTGTACGACCTGATAGCTTCATGGCTATTGAAACGCGACTGGGTCTGTATGTGCGTAATGATTGATGTCTTTCCGAGGTCTATCTGTGAATATCAAATCATGCGCAATCATTATTTTGGCGTTTCAATATTGCGTTTACTTAAAATCAAAAAACGTAGCATGTTACAGAATGCAAGGACACAAAACATATACTACTAAAATAACTACTTAAAAGGGTTAGTAACTATACCTGTAGAAATTCTGTCGGACTCGCTCTCTCTGCACACCACGCTCCTATATAACYTGTACTATGACGCCGTATGTCCTGGGCGTTCAGTCTTGCCCTRTAGGSTGGTGCGTACCAGCCACGCGTACGTCTGTTTGACGTCGCACTGAACGCTCGATCAGGAATTTGTCCATTTTCGATGCCAACTGGAATAGATATCTGACATCCTTCTACAAGAATAAGCAAATACATTGAATTATTATGTATTAGTGAATACATTTYTTAATGCGTGATTGCTTTTCTTCAAGGCATTTAAACCTACCCCAATCATTCCTGATCCCTTTTTCGTTGGTCTTTCGTGTTGGTTTAGGTTCTGGCTTTTTGCGTTTGGTTTCTGGAAAGGAAAAAAGTCAGCTAACTACGCAATTCATGTTGCAAGTGTAGAAAACATAAGCCGACTTGTCATTCAGATGATCAACTTGTCAGATAAGTTGTCAATCATGTAGTTAACTTGTCAATCAAATTACATGTCAGTCATGTTTTGTTCTATTTGGCAACTTACCGCAAAATCCACATGATTTTCTACAAAGCTCTAAAGTATATTTATAATATTCCGAAGTTGGTTCACAGAATCCTTTTATTCTGTAAGTCCTACAGTGACGCGTATAGACATCTTTACAATCTAAAATGGAAAATAGAAAAATTGGCTGTAGAATCCCTATTGTGATGGCTGTCTTTGTGCGGGTAAATTACCTTCAGTCACCACAAACGGCCTTGTTGGGCGTGTCGACGGTGCTTTGGTTGGAATTCCTGTAAGTATTCAATCCTATTGTTAACAGTGTGMAAAGCAGTAATGTACTAACAATGAACATTACAGCAMAGAAAGGAGCATAAAGTGATATACAGTTACATAAGAAAAACGACTGGTGTACCTGAACATAGGTTACAAGTAACTTTGCAATGATCTTTGATATTGTTAAAATATTTGTGATTCGGGTCGCAATATCCTTGTTTTTTCCATCCGGCACAACCRTTTGAGAGATCTTGGCATACAGGCTCTATSAAAACAAATGAATGACAAAATAGWTCGMTGGTCAACATACAGAGAAGGACAAATCCAGAAGAGAAACTTGTGTAAAACCAGGAAAATTACTTACGACAAAAATTGCAGCTTTTGGCACATACASTTTTCATATAATTGTGATAACTACTGGACTTTGCACAAAATCCACTACTTTTCCATTCCCTGCATTTTGCATAGCTGTCTTTACATCCTGATAAATAAGAAACAATGGTCAGGAAAGCCCCTGTTATACTACATCATCTGGTGCTTGACCTTTGTACCGCAATTATTCAGCTTTACTCAACGATTGAGGGAGCATCTCTGAGAGAGAGATTGTGAGTACGTTAAATATCCGTTGATAGAGTAACTCTGAGAGATGATAAGCAATCGCCGTGTACTGAAGATCTCCTTTACGATACACTCAAAGTGACCATTGCAAGCGGACGAACTTGTCTGAAGCACCGCGCTTATGATCCACTTAACTTCTTACGGGGGGTTTTAGGGTTAGGGTTAGCAAAGAATAATAAATACATCAAGCTGCTGTGAGCAGTTTTCTGATAAACGCTGGTGTATAAAAAGGCGCAATAAATGCTTAGGGAGGGGTGCATGGGGAAGCACTGTTTTCCGAAAACTTTCTTTGGCAAACATTTGCGAAAATCTTTGCAATCAATCAATTAGGTACTATGCTACGGGACGATCACATGTGATGTACTTTCGACGATAGACGATTAAGTCTCTTTAACTTCCTACTCTCCTCCCATGATTTTCCCCTTCAGCTATTTCCCCTGGGAGGTCAACACCGCTCAAACTACTTATCACTTTTATTGCACACTGGCAGAAATCCACGGCTGAAAACTGTTCTTATCGAGCAGTATTGAAAAGTTTTTCTCTTCTGTATGTGTGATTTGTTTATCAGTAAAACTGATGGCAGATCATGTCTTCTATCTGGTTATATGAAACCATATTTAGATAATGGTGGTATTAGCACTCATCATCTCAAATAACAYAATAGTATTTTCGATCTATCAAGTATTTGTGCTGGATTTCCCCATAAAAGGTTTCATAAAGACAAAACAACTTGCGATCTGGGGTGATTGTTATCTATTTAGACTAGCACTGGTTATATTTTGACGCCGAACTGTACAGCTGTGCAATATTCTGTTAAACGGAGAGTTGRACAAAGAAAAGCTACTGAATTTCCAAACTTTAATGTGGGTATATGCTTTTTTCAGATGAATCGTGGATTGGAACTCATCCAAATTTCCCAGTGAGCAGTCTCCCTCCCCCTTACATTTCTCTATCGTGAATAAGAACAGCACTGCTCTCTGAAGGAATTAAGAAAGTAACTGGCTGGTCAAAAACAGGATATGTGTCCCAAGACCAATCCAAAGAGCAGGCATACAATGTTAAGCATGATAAACAACTGTACTTATCGTGTTTATTCTGACTTACTTTCCCTAATCTCCACACAGCTACTAAAACCTAAACTTTTGCGTTTCCGTTGGCCATAACTATAATCATAGTCACAACTATGCTTTAACCAGAAGGCTGAATAGTTTCATGATGAAGAGCAACTTACCGTAAGATAGACAAACCAGTCCGCAAACAACCAAACAAATTTCAATTATCAACGCCTTTCTTTTCATAATCCAAGAGCAAGCTTGCTAGACCCTTGCTATGATGTGTCCTGTTATTGTTGTACGATCTGTGTGATGCTCGTCTCTCAACGTTCGTAAAGTTCATCTGACACGCCGGTAACTGAGTAACAGTTACTGATTACCGGTGACGTAATGACTGCGGCCAGTGTATGATTGCGGTCGGAAAGATATTTCTGTAAAATCATTATTTATGGTAATATCTTATCAGGAAAAAAAGACTTTGTCTTGTCCGACCTCAAAACGTCAGCTCCAGAAATTCATTTTTGACACTGGGTAGTTCGTGTGACTTCCACGTGTTTATTTCCGCTTCCGGTCGTGTCTTTGGGCTTGGTAGTTTCTATTTCATTTGTATTGTACTGGCTCAATGCCCTCACGTAGATTCTCGACTACATATATCATCAAGTGATATGTGGAAATCGCTAGTTTTACGTCATTCTTCAACTTGACATTTCATAGTATAGTAGCAGCAGGGAAGCTAATCGCAGATTATCAACAGGGAAAATTGCGTTTGCCTGCTTTGATGTGATGTCATTTCACGTAATGCAACTGAGATTTTCTGACAAGAAMATGAAAWTTCGAAAAAATAWAAACGGRAACAAAACGCGCGGCAGTGAGGAGAATGGTACCTAGCCTACCCGTCATGCACCRCAAGCCAMTWWTTTCCAAGATGGCGAACAAACGYATAGTATATGTCGGTGGGTTAGCAGAAGAAGTGGACGAAAAGGTTCTTCATGCAGCTTTTATACCGTTTGGAGACATTACAGATGTTCAGATACCTATGGACTACACGACACAGAAACATCGTGGCTTTGGGTTTGTAGAATTCGAGTTTGCTGAGGATGCAGCGGCAGCCATTGACAACATGAATGAATCAGAGTTATTCGGTCGTACAGTCCGGGTAAATATCGCTAAACCCATGAAGATCAAAGAAGGATATAGTAGAGCTGTTTGGAGTGAAGACAGCTGGTTACAGAAATATGCTGGTCAGACTAACGATGAGAATAAAGAGAATGGAGCAACCGATCAAGCACAGGAGTCCATGGAAACAGAACCGGCGCCMAAAAAGAAAGGAAATCCACGTGTATACTTCGATATCAATATTGGAGATCGAAGTGCAGGCAGGATTGTTATGCTGCTACGTTCTGATGTCGTYCCTATGACGGCTGAAAACTTCCGTAGTTTGTGTACACATGATAAAGGATTTGGATACAAGGGATGTACCTTCCATCGTGTTATACCTCAGTTTATGCTGCAAGGAGGTGACTTCACCAAGCATAATGGTACTGGTGGAAAGTCCATATATGGCTCCAAATTTGAAGATGAAAACTTTGTTCTTAAACACACTGGCCCTGGAATGCTGTCTATGGCAAACTCGGGTCCTAACACTAATGGATCTCAGTTTTTTATTACTACTGAAAAGACTGATTGGTTGGATGGAAAACATGTTGTATTTGGTAGCGTCATAGATGGAATGGATGTTGTTAGAAAAATAGAAGCTCTAGGCTCAAAAACTGGAAAGGTCTCTAAGAAAGTTGTTATTGATAATTGTGGTGAACTGTCATAATTAACATGTTTACTGAGACATACAGTATTTAACATGAAAACACTTGTACAGGCATTATGGACAGACTGCGGTGTTATATGTATTTCCATAGTTAGGATAGTTATTTGTAGGTGTCATTGTAAGCCTACCCTTCTCTTTTTGATGCAAAGATATAAGCTGTAATTTTATGAAAAAGAGTTTTTCAATTGTTCAAAASTAACATTGATACACAGGTCAAAGGGTAATACTGTATTGTATGAGACTGGTTCCAATCATGACAGAGATGTTATGGAGTCAGTGTAAATAGCATTATTGTTGTTGACCAAGGTAGTGTTGTATTAGCTTTGATATTTTGTTTTCGAATCTTTGAAACCAGGTGAAATCCCTGTTGCAACAGGATGATATGTAAATCTGTCTTATTTCATTTCTATAAAAAACCATAGTTATTTTCAGTGTTGAAGTTCATTGTKCTRTTGAGTGGATTCCCTGTGCTGAAGGCAACATCTTTGCCACAGGTAACCCATGATTTCCTTTTGTTTATTATTATATGGATTAAGGCAATGACACTCCAGGGACATAATCATTGGGCAAGTTGTTTGTCACACACATTATTATCATATCAATTAGTTTTATTCTCATCAAGATCTATATTTTCGTCCTATGGAATAGTCCACACAAATGATGGGTGATTCAAAATATTGACTTTATAAATTCTTTGGCATTTTGTGACTTTTAAAAAATTGAATTCACGATTACTTATAGTTTTAAACGTCAGTGTTATATAAATTAGTCTTACTCATATCTTGATACCACAAGGTAAACTTTCGTTTTTTTTAGTAGAATTCAAGTTACTAATTGTCCTGATTCAAGTGTCCTTCCAATCAAAACTAAACACGGCTTTTGTTTTCTAGTGCGAACGTGCGAAATGACATCTCTTCCAGATAATCTTCACTCACTCAAGTCAAATTGGGAATCAAATGTAAATTGKGAATCAGATGTAGAAGTAAACATCTGCTCGYTCAGTTTATTTCATCTTTAAAGGTGCGTGGGTAACGAAAGTGGAGAATAGTTATGAAGTACGTCGACCAATCAGCGTCCAGTAYGCGGGGGTTGCGATAATTGTATTCTAGAACGAGACATTGACAGCGGAACTCAATGAGAGAATCAAGAAGACGGAATATTCACAAACAGAAAGACTAGAAAGACAAGGAAAAATCACCAACAASAAAAAACTCAGGATCTAGTTTCTTTTTGTCGCACAACAAAGAGCGAGGCTCGGGTAAGTAATACACAGCCCTCCTGAGGATCTATGTGATCGATCGTTCTTTTGAGAAATTAAGCTTTTGATTCTTCATGCATTGGATTTTACTCTATATTGATAATATTCTTGCATAAACATTCGCCGTCTTGTGCTTGTGAAATAACAGAACCAAATCGAAAATGTTTGTCAAATCCACTTGTTAAAGGTTTTTGCGGCTAAWGTGAATGAGTAACGGACAGTTTCAGCAAAATGATCATCTATTTTTTAGTTAGTTTGGTCTCGAATCAGTTTTTTTTCTCAAGTCTAATCGACAAAATTAGTTTTAACTACAATCCAATTGCTCACATTCCCAAAATTTTGCGTTATTTTTCAAGTTTTTTTGACAGGTTACTCAGAAAAGCGCGCACTGCCCAAGGAGCTCCCATAAGACATACTTCATAAATTTACTTGTCGATATATTGCTAAAATCTCACGGATGCAAAGCTTAAAGCATCAAACTATGATTCAAGAACAAACGACATGGATAGCTTTTAGAAAGGMCTTTTTTTCAGAAACCATACTTTTGTCGGCTAACCGCAAATATTCTGGTTGAATCACTAAGGCCCGCTCTCTCTTTTGAGTGCTCAGCTATTGGAATTAAGCTAAGATATTCTTACATCCAAGTGTTCACATACATTACGTACCAACATTACTTCTTTCATTTCTCATCCATTTTCATTTCATTCATTCGTTTGTTATTGTTATTTCTTGTTMATTTCTCAGCTCTTTCAATCTTTTACTCATTTGTTCCTCAGGTTATTTTTTGATACACATCCAACACGGTTGAAAATAAAATAGTGTATCTCAGTAACGTAAACATTGGGATCATTCTGAAATCATATTTTCTAAAGGGAGTTGAAAGCAACTGTCAGTTCAATTAGTCGTKTAATAGTGYGTTTTTTCKTGTTCAGTTGTGGAGGATGGTTATTTTCGTGTTAGCGCTTATGGTGACGTTGGTCGTTATAGATTATTATAATAATACTTGACGTTTATATATGTTAAATATTATTTTTCCRTGCACCATGGAACAGGTGGAAGGGTGATATGAGATATCAACCAATCACACACCTCCTCGCCTTATATCCGCTCGAACGCTTTCAGAGTCACTCATAAATTATAAAAAATTCCGCGCGAGRGCGGTCAGACTTTCAGTTGCCTATTTCTACGATATTATTGAATTGCTTTAGCCATATACGATTATTTTTGGATAATCGAAGATTTATAATGATTCTGTGAAAATAAYCTCAAGGTTTTGGGGAGCGATTGTATGAAATAAGACCGGAAAAGTAGCAAGCTATTTTAAAGTGGAGGTTGCTTTATTCTTCCGCAGAAATGGGCAGTGAATTATCATGGATTCTTCTCTGTCTAATACTTGGTTGTGTTGGAGTTACAACGCGTTCTTTTGAGAACTATGGCTACAATTATTATGATAGCTTCGATGAATCGTTATTTCAACGGTCAAGAACACTACAAGATGAAGTAAAACAAGACATTGATATATCGATGCCAAACGTTCACCCACAGAAGGTAAGGCTTACCGAATCTCTAACATCAAGAGTCTTAACATTAAGTAGTTCAGTTTTAAATTCTTTAGGCTCGTCTAGTATTTTGGCGGTAACCGTTGGTAATGTTGTCGTTTTTAAGTCAGAGATCATCGTATCCTAGGTAGAAGGTCAAAATTGTGAATGGTAACCACAAAAGAAAACAAACGGTGTTTTTCACAACCAAATAATGAACTATCTCTTGTGTTTATAAGGTGACCATAGTGTGGACATATTATATTTTATAAATACAACACCAACAAATCTCGAATGTTAGACGAAGTAAAATGTGAGATGGTGCTGTCACTCATCACATTTTCGCCGTTGGACATCGTATTTATTTCTGACTATAAACCTTAATTTGAATTGTCAATGAGCCTGTTGAACGGTTTTCTTGGGTTTTGGTCCAATATCAATAAATTTCCCTTTCTTTCTTGTTGTATTATATTTAAAGTCGATTTATAAACATGAAATATTTCGGATATTTACCTTGCTAAAAATTCATAATAAAAGCCTAGCGAGACATAATTTTGATGTTAAAAACGTATTTAGCTCCTTGTTTAGAGGTCACAAGACGTCACAACACGATTTACAGAAATGTGCCCATTCTTTCAAGTTGTACGCAATAATATGCGAACTGAAAAAAAACGTTTTCCTCTGACATAAAAACGTACAATATAGGAAATTTCGACAAGACGATCTTTAGATATTATTTAAATTCGTGTAAATCCATTCCAATGTTCTATGAAAACCCATTTCAGTGTCATAAAGCCATTTTAATGTTCTTAAGCAATTTCAGTGCTGTTGCTAAATACCATTTAAATGCAATTATGTATTTTAGATCATTTTAGTCATTTAGAGATAATAATAATAGAAACAACCATTTAAGTTTGAATAAACATTCCAACTAAACACATACAACAACTACATATTTGTTATGTTTAATTAGTGCCATTGTGATTAAATTATTTATGTTTTCATTTTTCGTGTTTGCAGCATGATTCCTATTTTTGTACATCAGTGAAGATGAATACAAAGGAATATATCAGTAAGTTACTCTGTGTAATTCTTCTTTTTGTTCTTTTCTTCTAATTTGTAATTTTTTTTTTACATTAATTTATTTATTTTTTATATTTGTAGCTGGTTATGAACCTCATGCAGAAATGCACACTGCTCACCACATGTTACTGTTTGGCTGTCAAAGTATACCAACTCAAGAAAAGTATTGGTGAGTGATCAAAAATAACATGATATATGACACTTTAACAATWGAAGTGTGCAACAGTACAATGCCACTAGATACTGCTAAAGAAATTACAATAATGATTCTGTTGTTGCCTGTATTCTAGTATTTGACAACCAGTATGTTTATACACTAGGGAAAAAAACACAAATCAATAAAATGGCTATTATCAATACATTATTAACATATTTCACTGCTGGACCAAAAATAAGTGAATCCATAAATGTAAAGAAGGGCAGTGAAATATTCATTCATCAGTTTTGATGTTTCATAAAAATGACTGTTAGCAAGAAGAAGTGGAAGTATGTCCATACAGCTCCAGTAAGTGTGATATTATTTGTGGATGGTGTCTTGTAGGAACTGTGGTGATATGGGTGTTGGTGTATGCTCAAGAGGTTCAGGAGAGAAAATTATGTATGCATGGGGAAGAAATGCTCCAGTTTTAAAACTTCCAAAAGGTATTGATATCATTGAAATYGCCTCCCAGGTCAGCAGCCATTGTGGAGGAGGGTTAATACTGCCAGGAAACTCACAGTTTAATGTGCACAATGTAATATCAACTGTTTTTCAGATGTTGCATTTGAAGTTGGTGATACAGATACTAGGTATCTAGTTCTACAAGTACATTATGGTCAYGTAGATAAGTTCAAAAGTAAGTTTATTAAATATGTGGCTCCTTTTTATAATATTATTGATAATCAAAGGGTCAAAAAAGGCCAAAGAGTAATAAAGGTTAACTGGCTGGCTCAGCCTGAAGTAAAAGTAGTTTCACTTAAATTGGGAAGGAATGCAAGAAAATCAGTCCTATTAAGCACACAGAAAGAAAGATGATTATGATCATGAATAGTGTAATGAACTGATGATGATTGTGTATATGGTATATGTGTACAAGTGATWTGTCTACATTTTTGTGCAGAAAATCCTCAGCTGACTGACAGATCTGGTGTTGTGCTAAAGGCAACAAACAAGAGGTACACCAAACTTTATTATTTCCCTCAACCCACAGTCATTCTACCTGTAACKTCTTTCTTGAAGCATTTTTATTTAGTTTTACATTTTTTGTTGTTGTTTTCTTATTGTGTTTGCTTGTTTTTTATATATTCATTTTTTGTGTTTTATATTTTACCACCAACTGTTAAAAGTAAAAATAAAATTTAAAGTATAAAGTACATATATTTTTGAACAAACAGAAAAAAGTATCTTGCTGCCATTGATCTGTTGGCTAATGGATATGGTTTAATCCCACCAAGACATCAAGGTTAAACATACAATTCTTTGAAATATAAACACTAAAGGTTGCCATCCACATTCATGGGGGTCATTCTTATCACATAATATTTAAACAAATTATGTACCATTTGAAGACAAAGCATGCAAAACAAGTGCTTGTGTATGATATTTCATTGTCCAAGAAGTTGTTATATGTYRGTTAAAAGTCCATGTATTTTGATACTTTCAGCCCTGTGGACCCCAAGAATGTTGACAGTAACCTTAAAATATMAAAAACTAAACTGTAAAATCTAATTTCTTACGATCTGAGCAATAATATTGGACTCAAATCTAAAGATAGATTGAAGTCAAGAATCTAAACCACTTAAAATATTAAACAGGGGATTAATGTTTTGAGCATTCCAATAGTTATTATTATCTATGATTTCACATAAACCAATAAATATTAAATATGAWGCTATAAATTCATTCCATAAAACCATTCTTACAGAGAGTTAAAAAGATCAATTAAATATCTGCAAGAGGCTTTGCCTTTAGTAATAGAGAGAACCTTACAAATTGAGAGAAGCATAGCTGTATGTGACCCTCAGCTACTCGCTTCTTCCAATTTAATATTAATGCCATGTATAATACAATAATCATTATAAATCTATAAAATGTAAGTTATAAACTAGAGATCACTAGTCACTCCAAGTTGAAACTACAATTTCAGTGCTATAAAGCTATTCCAATGTTATAAAGCCAGTCCAATGCTATAAAGCCATTCCAATGATATAAAGCCAATCGAGTGTTATAAAGCCATTCTAATGCTATAAAGCCATTCCAATGTTATAAAGCCATTCCAATGTTATAAAGACATTCTAATGCTCAAAAAGCCATTCGAATGCTCTAAAAGCCATTCCTGTGCTTTTAAAAGCCATTCCAATGAACTATAAAGCTTATATGTTTACAGTTGGTGGAGCATTTGTTAATGTTTTTAATTTTGTTTAGCRATTATTGATATTGATTTTTAAATGAAAACAGACCAGATTCTTTCAAAAAAGGGGAAATTCTACTCTTAGCAAGTGATGGCTCAATTCCACCACGCAAAAAAGGTTTAGTGTTTACCATTGTTATATTTCTTTCTCTCTTTTCTCAACTTRCTTCATGGATAGGCCGCCACTTCTAGCTAGTATTAAACTCCTTGCAGCTGGATCATCTAAAATTCCTCCAGGACATAAAGGTCTTCATATAGATTTGATAATAAATATGACAATAGTAGTTAATGAATAGTAGCTAAATACAAGTAATAATCCTACTGTAAATATTCATGACGCTCCCACTAGAGGAGGTGAGTGGAGCAATTAAGGGGCATTCATACCATATGTCAACTTTAGTCTTCTTCAAATTCCAAATGTTTAATAACCCAAGTGTCAGTTCTCTTTATTCTATAGCTACGATATTTGCTGTTCACATATTAAAAGAGCTTATTAATTATTAATTTGATAATGTTTAATTAAAGCTTCTGTTAGATGGAAATTGAAATGTACTAGCATGTACTAGCAAAATTTATTTTCTTCTTTGCAGTTTTCAATCTTGACTTGAGCTGTATATACAGCAACAAAGCCATTATTCATCCCTTTGCTTTCCGAGTTCATGCTCACTCTCTTGGTAAGTTAGGTGGCTCTACAAGTGGTTATTGTCATTGTATTTTGTTGCTGTTGTTGGTATTGTTGCTTTTGCTGTTGTTATTATTATTGTTGTTGATATTGTTGCTGCTGTTGTTAGTATTGTTGCTGCTGTTGTTATTATTATTGTTGTTGATATTGTTGCTGCTGTTGTTAGTATTGTTGCTGCTGCTTGTTGGCTGTTGACTTTTCAAATGTCCATACTGTTAACGTTATTTATATTTTATAGTCATTGCTTCATTCTTATCATTGTAGGAAGGGTTGTAACAGGCTACAGGATTCGTAATAATGAGTGGAAGTTAATTGGCAAAGGAGATCCTCAGCGACCACAGGTAAATATGATATTACTTCACCCTGAAAGCCTTATACATGGCTGCTGAGACTAACATTCATCTATTAATAGTAGATTGCATATTCTCAAACTAATTACACCCAGTCATAATAATGTGATCYATTCCTGTTTGCAATTAATGCAGTTTTGTGTTTTAACAGGCATTCTATGATGTCATAGACAAGRCTGACATCAGACCAGGAGATACGCTGGTACGAACCCTTGAATAATGAGTAATAATTTGTTAATAATATATCTAACTGTMATGGTACATAATAGGCTGCTCGATGTACTTATGATTCAACTACTCGAGACCGAACAACATACATTGGGTAGGTRGACTTTATCTTCAATATGATACTGSACCAAACTAGTGTTCATTTKGGTTCTTGCTAACCCTAAYCCCTTGCTCGRTATCCATTTTTCAGTGCTAGATTGTGATTTCGAGATTTTCTTCTTCTTCCTTTTTTTCTTAGATTTTTTAAAAAAGGTCGATTTTACTTATTTCGTATTGTWTTTGTTTTCCAGGGCAACGATGAAAGATGAAATGTGCAACTTTTACACAATGTTTTACTACGATCCTGAGACTACAAATAGCTCACCGGAAGATTCYTGTGGATACAATTCTAAAAGACTGCACTACCCTGCAGATTCCATAGTACCCCTTCCTGATAACGGTCAAAAGATGGTGATGAAACGAGATGTAGGTTAGTGGGAAAGGACTGATCAAACACTACTATGTAGGTAGGCAGGAGTTTCGTTCTGTTTCTAGAGGAGGTCAATGATTTGCGCTTCCTCATTTTATAAGAAGTTTGGTTTTTGGCAGATGAAATATTTCATGCGCGCATAGTCAAATAGTAACTAATCGCAGTTCACTTTGTTCGTAGGCTCAGAAAGTTTGTCAGAACCTTATGGACCCTAAGCGCGCATGAGCAGTTGAAATTATGTGGAAACCATGACGAACAATCAAGAAAAACAAACTCGTTAATTCATATCACAAACTGACARAAAAAATGATTTATTACTTTAAAAGTATACCAATGTATAAAAGCTAAGCATAAAATATTGTCCATATTTGGACAGATTGTAACTTAGTCATGTTGTGATTAAAACTGGTAACTGTATTGTATTTCTTTCTTTTCTTGTTCTAAAGATTACAAAATTGATTTCTTTTGATACTTTCTCAATTTCCTTTGCTGTTCTTAGCTGTGAAATTTTGATTCAAAGAAAAGAAATAGTCTAGAAATAGATGAGAAATTCTTTAGAAACTATAACATTTTCTGACAGTATACGGAAGTAATGTACCCGGATGTCAACATTATACTTTTGTTAACTCAGAAAGAATAGATTTCTCTTGTAGTATTTTATGTTTGGTAATACTGTCATGGCTCTATTGTTAAGGAAGTTCTCTCTTGCGTAAAGTGTCTTTTATAGACATTCCCATGGCAACARCAATGCAAATCACAATCGCATATTTAATTGTACAACATCAACATCTATTTAGATCCCTGTCCACATTGTAAGAGATCAACAGAGACTCTAAACGTTGAAGAGAATTGGCCTGCGGGTGGAGCGAGTACTGGTCAGCTTGCAAATAGCGTTGGGCAAATTACTGGCGTTTCCATGGCTACTAACGGTGATGTTGTCATCTTTCACCGTGCGACACGATCCTGGCAATTTGAGTAAGTTTCCAATAAACTAAATTAGATAATGATGTCCAACTAAATCACAATTGTTTTATATATTTCAGTACCTTTACAAATAATGTGCTTAAAGACGACTATCAAAAAACTCCCATCAAGGATTACACAGTCTCTTGGTTGGATGCCAAGACTGGATTGATTAAAAGACAATGGGGTGATAATAAGTAAGGAYAGTTTTCCTTGTTTTGTAATGCACTATTGTTTATCTTATTTATCTCATATTGCCGCTTAATTTGGTGATATCGTGATATATTGGGTCAACAGTGCGCATATGATACAGTCAATTCCATTAAGGTTGTTCAGTTCACGTGGAGACATGGCAACAAGCTTAGAAGCTTTCTCGATTCAATAATAAAGGTGTTTGTTAATATTGGATGTATATCATACTAGGTTTTACCTCCCACATGGATTGACAGTCGACAAAGAGGACAACCTATGGCTAACTGATGTAGGCTCGCACCAGGTAAAGTGCAAAGACACRATAATCCTAATTACGGGCCCAGGGCATTAGGCTCAYAACTAGAAACCACGGACACCTTATATCGTAATACAGCAAAAGATGTAACGGTGACAACCTGCAAAGAACACATGGTTTATTGGCTGTTTGCTCATTTCTCTTCAGGTTTTCAAATTTCCTAAAGGCAGCGAAGATCCTWCAATTGTAAAAGGAAAACGTCTAAAACCTGGAAGCGACAATGAACACTTCTGTAAGCCAACAGCTGTTGCTCTGGACTCTGATGGAAACTTTTTCGTTTCTGACGGGTAAGGCATGAATAATATAATTGATATCAGTGATTAATTTATAGGGTTATATATCATATACAGTGGACTAATAATGACTTTATTCATTGAAGGTATTGCAATCAGCGTATTCTCAAGTATTCACCTAATGGAATATTACTGCTTGTAATTACAAACCAAGCTTTAGTTCAAGGTACATCACTGATAAATAGACTGACTGCAGGAATTTTTTACACCGTTACAAACGTCAACCTTTCCACGAGCTCACATATGTATGTAATTCACGTCTAAAGTACAACGTCCTATTTTAATTTTTTTTAAGTTGGGCTCCAGTAGCAACTGAACCAACTACCATGTACCTTACAGTTAATCATATTTCTTTGATTGACAGGTCTAGCTTCACCGAGTTATTTTTCCATCCCTCACAGTGTYTCTACTGATAAAGTTAATAATCGACTCTACGTCGCTGATCGTGAAAACGGACGGGTTTTGGTTTTTGACACTAAAACAGTTAGTCTTCTTAGAATTATCGATGGCTTTGGATCCCGCGTATTTGCAGCACATTACTCGCCTTTAAATGGTAAGGGAGTCACCATTTATCTTCTTAGCTCCCTCTCCCCTTTTCGTTTCCCTCCCGCTCCTGTCCCTATTCCCTCTCCCTTTATCCCAAGGCTGTAAATCATAATGTCACGCAAGACTCATGTGGTATTATTATGTCAGGGGGTTTACTTCATGTGGTAAATGGCGACGATGGTAGGTCTAAAGTAAGTGGTTTTACGTACAGTCTACGAGTCAATAAGATTACACAGACATGGTCTCCTCCTGAGGTCAGTAKACAATCTAAACGTAGCCATATAAGTAGTTATGTCTGAATTTCTGTACTCTATTGAACAGGGTTTTGAGATGCCCCATGATGTAGCGTCAGACAATGCTGGTCACGTATACGTRGCTGAAATCAAACACCAAAAGGATCAAGGAAGAATCTGGAAATTCGTTTAGGCCCAGCAGGCTGGGTTGAAATGTTTTCTTCTTGTACATAATGTCTCGATTCTTTTGCTCTATAATGGGTTAGCTTGATTTTGAGTTTATTTTTACAGCAAGTTCATAATACGAGCACATAAATACTCACATCTTATTTTAATTAATGAGAAATCGTTCCTTTCCTGGACCGATTCCTGGACCGATTCTGAAAAGAGATGGTCGCTTTACCAAAGTGCATTATCGGTTAAAAACAGGTAGATATTTATCTATTGTAAGGCAGAGGAAAAATATAGTTTCTCCTAACCGTGAATTCTAAAATAATATTTTTAAATGCTCGAAAACACGGGACGCACGTCCTTGCGTCATATAACTGCAAACCGGCAGCGACTTTGCACAGCGGTCTTCGTATGTTTGACGTCATAAGGTGATGTCATCTGTAGATAAGGGAAGTCAATATGAACTATATTTAATGGGGGGTGATATAATTTATAGACATTTCCGTACAATGTACGTTTTATAATGGTTGGTGACATTCATTTGACATAATATTTAGCAAGCTTTTCAAAAACCCGTGAAAATACACTTGTAAGTCTTCTTTGTCTTTACGTCCCACGTTCATTACTGTATGTTTTGCACTTTGACTGAGACGCACTTTGTTTCACGGGTTTTTGAAATCCACCTCGAAATACTTAGCGTACAAAAACAGGACATAGTATAATACACGCGCCAACGCATCTCAAAATCATGGACATTGTAGACTCGTTATTCACCGAGAAATGCTTGATCAACTGTACCAATAATAAGTCAGTGGATTATTATTTAATATTCATAGGTGCATGCTCCATTTCTTAAGGATACTTTTATCAGAATATCTTTGAAAGGTATGCTGGTATGTATGTCAAAATGTATGTTGATTGTCCTTACAACAATGCACGCAAATAAATATCTGGGACAAGTGACAGTTTCTTATCCTTTGAAAATCTGTCCTCGAATCTGTACAGATAATCCATGTGATATCAGTTGTTATCGACTTCAAGTCATAATAGAGCAGTGTCTCTGAGACAAACCATCACTTAATTCATATTCTG